AATTCAAAATATCAATACTACTAAAATCCTTACTATGCAAGATCTTGCAGATGTAATTATGATGTTGAGTATGAGACCTGCCAAAGTTGCCACTCTTCATATTATTCATTATGAAATCAGTGAATCGAATCCTCCTAAATAGTACAAGCCTGGTTATTCTTGGTATTGTATCGTGTATATTAAAAATAAAAGAAAAGCAAAAAATAATCCTGAACCTCAGCAATTTCTATCTATGGAAAAGAATCCAGAATGTGCAAAAAAATTGCTTACCTGAATCCAAGATGCAATAGCAACTAGAAAGTTACGCAATCCTGTCTATAATATTAATAAAAAACACAGTACAGGAGTATTTAGTAAAATTTTAAAATCATATGGTATTACAGCCAAAAGATTAAGAAAAATTGAAGATAAATATGCTTCTAGAGTTCATGGTAGTCAAAATCCAACTTCGCAACATTTCGAATTCCTTAGCAGAGTTGCAATAAGACATAAGATGAATCATCATAATTCTGGAATATATTATGCTGAGGGTGATACTTCCGATTCTGACCTTGACTCAGATCCAGAACCTGAACCTGAAGCCCTAGCTCTCATACCCAAGCCAATTAATGAGAATACTTCTAAAATTGAGGATATCTATGACTTATATAAGAGTATTTAAATTAGTTCATAACTTATTTATTCATTCACTATAACCCAGCTTTACTGCTTTGAACCTGCTTTACAATAATTAGACTTATTAGATATTTTTTAAGTAAAGTTATATATACAAACCAACTCACTAACCACACTTACCCATAAGCTAAAAATCATCTGCAACTGCCACCAAAGATCTAGCGATCTGGCTCATACTTATTAAATAAAGAGTCTTAGTTAATAAAATCAAAATATAAACATGCCTAATATTCAAGATATTTGTAAAGAATGAACAAAAAATAATTATACCCGATACATGTTAACCAAATATGGTTTAAACTATATCAATAATTTTAAAATGCCAGAAGCTTGGTTACAATTTGTGAAGTATCATCCGCCTAAATATATATGTAAACGTTTATTAATACTAGGATATGATATTATTAGTAAGGACTATTGGGAAAACTTTGTATTCCGTATTAAAAATAATCTAACCAGAAATGAATCCATAGCTAATAATTTTGAATTTAGAGAATTTTTAATTCAAGTAGCATATTTTAAAACTTTGTATATAAAAAATCGATCGGCTATTATCATCCAGCGAGCATATTGTTTATGGAAAAAATGAATAAATTCAGCTATAATAATCCAGCGAGAAGTGAAGAAATGGCTTTATCAACCAGGTGGACCATTAATGAAACATGCTCAAGATCGGTTTTATCAAAATGCTAATAAACTTGAAAATTTAAGGTAATTCAGAAGATTTTTAACACAGATAGAAACGTGTCGATATAAAATAAAAATCTATGAAGTGTATGCCCCCTTTTCTTCACGATTGCCATCAAAGATCTAGCGATCCTCTCATACTAATTAATTTGTAAATGAACGGATCGCCAAATCTGAAATTAGTTTTCATAGTATCTAAATTTGGTTTGTTAATAACGAGGAGTATATTATATAACAGGATAAGTTAATAATAAATTGCAAATACTTATCTGACTAAAATTTGGGTAATTGTACTAATTTGGATATTATATCTGTTTGCTCTTAACTAGCAAATAATCCTGGACAATGTGAAAATAGTATATAGTCAGGTAAGAGTAAAATGATAAGAAAATTTTTTTCTTCATAAACCAGCTTAGCATATTCTATACTATAAGTCTTGAACCATTTAGTGAAAGAGAACTTGCTAAAAAATACTCCAAACGATCAGAGTTATTAAAATTCTTAGGAATAAATATCCTAAAAAGTTATCCAAATTCTCTTGCAAATAATATTACAATACTAGAGCTAGAGAATTGTCATGAATATAATGAAAAGATTTTTTTAAACCCGCCCAAAGTATTTACTATATTAGTGTGTAGTCATACTCTCTATCACGACTGTCTTGAAAAAAGTAACAGAGATAAGCAAAAAACTTGCCCTATTTGTTTCATAGATAATGAAGGACTGGCGTTAGCTGAAGTTCGGGATGTAGATATGACAAAGGTAGTAGAAGGTGAAAGTGAAGAAACCTCTAATCTAACAGGAGAGGTAAGTAAATTATCTATAGACGACAGTAGAGCTATCCCCAAAGTAAAACAAAATCCATAGAATCTGAAAAAATGCAAGGTTTAATAAAAGAACTGTCTATGCTTCATAAATCAATTGATGATAATGATAGAAAAAATAAAACCAGAGAATCGAAACCAAAAACTTTACTCCAGTTATATTATAATGCAAGCCAGGCAGAAAAATGTGTAATCTGAGCCTACCAAGAAGAAATTAGGTGTTGGTACCTGTTTGCTGAAAAATTCAAAGAAAGGGTTAAAAAAATTAAAAATGATAATAGTAGATTTAATGATCAACAAGCTAAAGAGTTAGTTTATGACGAAATCGCAACGAATATTCCAAGATTCACAAGAGAAAGCCTACGTAAAAAAACAGCAAAAACTAGAAATATTTATAAGTTGTTTGGTGAAAGTTATGAC